TTTCTGCTAAAATTAGCCCATTTAAACAAGTCGGTGAACTTGGGAGTACATAGAGTTAAAATTAGGAAGTCCCTTCCAGGTCCACACTAACACACCGTCATAGAGCCAGCAGTTTTGGCTTGAACGCCTTGCAGCCAGGAATAATTCGACTATTTAAGGTGGTGGCGGTGATCGGGGGGGAGGAGGGGACTCATTATACGAGGAAAACTGTGAATCCAGAACACCGTTGTATTCACACATTTTGCACCTCGCAGTTGCGTGACCATAATGTCAGAACATTTACGTGATGCATTAGCATCAGGTTTGAGAGGTAAACAGTGGAATTCACAGACGCGAGTGGTTTGAGCTCAAGAAAGGTCCACTGCAGTGGCTCGTCCCACAGACTGGCTTGTGCAACGAAAAAAAAAAGGAAGTAGGCGTAGCTAATAAACAGGAAGATGGTACGGACTCTGCCAATAAACAACAAGACCTCGAGCCCCAATCCTTGTTCCGGTGCAGGAAAGCAAACCCTGTTGAACTCAAAAAGAACAGGTGGGGAATCTGCAAGGTCCGTGGAGGACTCAGTAGGAAACTTGGTATCAATGTTGTGGAGAGGAATTACTCTATTTCTGTGTGAGACCATCTTTTCTTCTCCCCACCCTAAAAACATATATATAGGTACAGTATGTCCTCTTTCTGCCTCACAACCCGCATGCTAAAGCAGAGATAACAGCACTAAACGGGACACCGTCATCTAAGCGCAATGTTGTGTCCTCTCTTTTCCCAAACTGAGGATTCCAGACAAGAAATGAGGGAGAGAGAGAAAAAAATAGAAGCATGATTAATTAACTTAAATGTACTGGAGATACAAAGAGCCGTCTAAAAATGACAGACTGCAGGATGCAGATAGTAAAGAGAGTGTTTACAAACTGCTTTTATGTGATGCCCTGCAATAAAATATGGCTTGAAACAGAAGAGCTGATAGCAATTCTAATTTATTTTCAGTCTCTGCTTCGTTGCAGAATATTGTCAGATGGAGCCTCCTTATAGATGAGAAGATTTTCTGCAAGGACTTTTAAAAAACCTGCCACCTCCATTCTGAAATATGAGATTGCTCCGTCTTTCTCCCACTAGATTAAAATAATTCAGGCTTCCACTTCCCAGTGTATTCCCTAAAACTATATTTCTGAACGTTGGTTGGATGGCGCTCCACCTCCGATTCAACTGTACGATACAACTCCGGTTTGTTTTAAAAGATACATCTGGGTTTCTTTCAGAGATTTCAGCCTTCGACCTGGAATAAGGAGGCTGGGGAAGAGTCAGACTCGCGCAGGGCGAAAACTGGCTCCTTTCCCACCTTGGAAGCGGTCTGTCGGCCGCTCATAACCCTGGCAGGCTGATCCGATGTCTGGGGCTTGTTGCAAACAGAACCGCGGGCAAGGAGTGGCGTTTAACTCGGGTGATACCCGAACCTTAATCAGGATGGGCTCAATCCACCGGAACCGTCTGCTTCGGGAGCCCTGTTTAAGACCGACGTCAGTGAGACTTCAGCTCCCCTTGATTTCACTCTGCTACCCGGTAGCGCGATTTGGTGAGGGAGCAACGGTGTGCAAACCTCGAGGCACTTCCAAGATACCTAAGCCCCGCTGAACCCAACGGCACTCTTCAGGTTCAACCAGGCTGCCACCGCTGCGAACTTCACCTTTGTTCAAAATCCGACGACTCCCTACTAGGACCGTTGGGTAGATCGAGCTGAATCACTAAGGTTTCGCATTCGGAACTCTGCGGCCAGTTCTTCTTATCCCGTTTGAAACGATTTTTCCAATCCACATACTTGGAGGCATGTTTGCCTGGCTAGCAGCGAAGAAAGAACTCCGAAGACACTCGTCGACTGGATACCTCCGGGGCTCGACCTGTTAAGACAACCCAGACTTCCCTAGGTTCCAGCACCCTGTACGGGGTCTCCCAAATATATGTACTTGGACGTCAGTCCCTTTGATTTCTCACTAGAATTTATTTTCATATAAATGCATTTAGCATCAGGATGCCGATGTTAGATTGTCGTGACCTTCCGTTGTTGTCTCAAACGGGATGACGAGGGGGCAGTAAATGGGGCGTTTTGACACTTTCGTGTGTGTGTGTATACCTACACTTAGGTATATATGATTGTTTGCAGACCTCATTAGAAGGACAGCTACCTTACCAAATCCTGATTTTGCTTAACAGGACGAGGCAAGGCACTGGAGCGCTGCATCTCTAGCATCAGCCTAAATTCACAGTTTCCTATAGTTCTGAATCTTTACATTATCTTGTATGCAAAAATAAAATAAAACCTCTAGTTCTCTATGTGCCTGGTTGGTGGGAGTTTAGAAGCATATGGAAAACTGCAATCGAAGACACCTCGGGAAGTAAATACGTCTGTAAAGCTGAAATCTCTTCTCGGAATATATCTTAGCTGCAGTACAATCATGCTGGTAATTAAACTAGTCCAGAACATTGTGAAGTTATGTTCCATATAGCCCATTAGGTGTCTCTCAGACAAATGTCCCAACCTAGGGAACACAGAAATACGCCACACCCCTTTTTCTTACTTAATAATGGGAATTACGTGAGATCAACTCCATTCCCACTTATGGCGCCCCTTTCTTGCTTTGCAGAGTACTTAGAACTATTTTTTTTATCATTCCTTCTTCTTATCTATATGTTTCTACTTCCAGCAAACAGCAACACCATTTGCGAAATTGTGCACAAATCTGTTTCAGCCAAAGTTTGTAGCTGGGAAAATGACTTCTGCCCTGTTTTGTTTCTTGCATGATAAGTCTTAATGTTGAACGTGAACGTTGTTGAACCTATGCTTCTGGGTACAAGGAGAAACTTTACTGTATGAGCAGAGGAAAAGTATGCAAAATATACTCTTCTCAGTACTGTATACTACTGATGTGGGGGGGGGGCAACACTCCTATGGAGAGTGACAGCTTGTCTCAGAAGTTGTCAGTGCTCGGCACGACTTCATTATGTAAGCTTAGAGAAGCTAAAAGAGCAGGGACCAGGTGCAGTTATATGGACATACTCTGCCGTTGTACCCAGTCCTTCCCCTTTAGTTAGTAGGAAGTCTCATATTACATCAAATCAAACCGTGTTATAGGTCGTGTGCTGTAGTGGTTAGAGTCTCAGACTAGGATTCCAGAGAGCTAGGGTCAAGTCCCCATTCGGGTGAAATTCACTGGGTGAGCTTGGGCCAGTCGCCCTCCTTCAGCCTGGCTTACCTCGCAGGGTTGTTTTGAGGGAAAAGTGGGGATGGGGCATCACGGTACTCTGCTTTGACCTCAAAAGAGGAAAAGCGGAATATAAATGCAATTAACAAATCACGATAAACAGGAGTAACAGAACATCAATTCTGTAAAATGGGCTCCTATGGCAGGAGCTACATAGAGATATCAGGATTTAATTACACACACCAGTAAAGTTTGACCGTACTGAGACAAAAGAGAAGGGAGAAGGCCGAATAGTGGCTTGTGTCTCCTTGACTTGAAAGCAAAAAACCACGATTCCCATTTTACCGCTTCCGTCAGTCCACGAGCGAGGTAGTATGTGTAGTTTTAGAAACCTCATTTTAAAGGTCTCTTTGTTTAGATCCAGTTTTCTAAAGGAAGCTCTTTTTGAGGAATGCACAAATTAACACTTCCTAGACTTATGAAAGTTAACACCACTTCTTCGCACAACTGTGATCGCAGCACTGCATGGCACGCTTCCTCTGTGCTGGGTTTTCGAAGAACGGAAGCCACCGTGGCCACGGTATTGTTATCACAACTGGTACAGAAAAAATGACAACAACGCCAAAACTTTGGAGACGCGGAAAGTGCCGTGAACTTGAAGGCGCCGCTGCTACTGCGGCTGTTGCTGCCGCCACCGCTTTCAACCCGAGGGAATCTTCTTCTTCTTCTCTCCCTCTCCCTCTCTTTCTCTCTCTCCCTCTTGTGAGTTCCAGGACGCGGCGTGGAGGTGCTGTCGCGACTCCCTTGAACTTTACTCAACTTTGAGACTCTCGAGGGGCGACTATCTTTCTGGCTAATTTCAATGGACTTAACACCGGGCACCACCTAACCTCAGTTGATTTCAGTCCCTAATTTATCCAGCCCTCATTTGCAAACTGTCTTCTACCAAGTCGTGTCAACGAAAGGTCAACTCTACACAGCAATTATATTCAGTTTCCTTTCCTTTCCTCTTTTTTCTTTTGTTTTCTTTTTTTCTTTTTTCTTTTTTTTGTCCAGAAGGAATTTAGGAAAAGGGAGAGAAAGGGGGAGGGATTCAAATCAGAGTTTATCTTGAATTCCTGCGAGTTTCAGTCACTCCGAGTTACGGCTGAATACATTGGGCGAATGAAGAAACCATTTCCAGCAGTAATTAAAATTAATGTGACACCATATCCCCGGAATGTATTGAAATGCACTAGGTGCAGATTTAATTTACAGTATTGTATTTTATGTAATTTAATTTCCAGGTTATCAACGTTATGTTAGGCGAACGTTTCAATTTCTAACGGTACCATTACAATGCTGGTGTGTTGTGGAAAGACTTGAAAGACAAATAAAATAAGCAGATTAGCCCTAAGTGCAGTCCTCCCACAATTTGTAACGTCATGGTCTGGTGCTAGTTGTAAATATCAAACCGAGACAAA